TCACCATTATCACCTGGTCGTCCCATGAGACCAGGCATTCCTGGTGGGCCTTTTTCACCAGGAGGTCCTACTTCACCAGTATCCCCAGGAGCTCCTGGATCTCCCACGGGACCGGGATTTCCTGGTGGGCCTGGTGGCCCGGGTGGTCCGGGAAGTCCTGGAGGGCACGGCGGGCATGGAGGCGGCGTAATTGGCTCACATGGCGCCTGTGGTGGTCGTCCTGGAGTTCCTGGTTTGCCAGGCATTCCTGGTGGGCCTTTTTCACCAGGAGGTCCTACTTCACCAGTATCCCAGGAGCTCCTGGATCTCCCACGGGACCGGGATTTCCTGGTGGGCCTGGTGGCCCGGGTGGTCCGGGAAGTCCTGGAGGGCACGGCGGGCATGGAGGCGGCGTAATTGGCTCACATGGCGCCTGTGGTGGTCGTCCTGGAGTTCCTGGTTTGCCAGGCATTCCTGGTGATCCCGGTGCTCCTGGTCGACCAGGTCGACCTTCGAGACCAGGGGGTCCAGGAAGGCAGCAACCTCCGCATCCGCCGCCTGTCTCGTAGGTTGCTTCTCGAGCTGTTCGGTTGGCTGGAAGAGCGTGTAGAGCGGCTGCATCAGCGTAGACCGTGTTGGCTGTGCTTCGACATGCCGCCATTTCTTGTCTCATCGTTGTCTTGACATTGTTCACGTAGAGGTAGAGGATCGGCAGTGTGGCTGAGACGGAGAGGACTGCAACGCATGACACGGCGATCGCTGCGTAGCCGACGATTCGGTACGCCTGAACAAAATGGAATGAAGACCATTAAATGCTGGGTTCACGATGAAAGACAGCCTATAGGAAAAAAAGATAGAGGTGGTCAGTGGTGCAGAGATGAAGAAAAAACCATGAAAACGGCCTAGAACCCGAGAAATGGCCCTTCTTTGCCGTTGATTTCCGCATTGATGCGACTCTCATCGGTGCTGCCCTCTTCAACGCTAACGCTCTCTCTCTGCTAAACGGCTAGAGTCAGACGGCGAGAGGTGGGCGGGTAGCTGCGCAAGTGGCGCGGATATGGCCTTGCCAGACCGCTGATTATTCCTTCGCTGCAAGCGTGCACCTTTAGGGGGGGCTGCCTTTTAAGTACGTATATTTCCCATTCTATGACCTCCTACTTCATCGTGGATTTCTCATTTGAAGAAGCAGCTTCTCGCAGAATGTCAATAATTGCTTCCATCCCACTCCTCAAGGGAAAGGGTCAGTGCAAGGCCAAATGCCAAACACATACGAGCCCTTTAAGTATCAAAGTAAGCATCGCACTCAATGATTGTGGATGCAACTGGGCATTTCAGTTCACAAATTCTTCTTTGCGACGTAAAAAAAAACCGTACTCTAGCGTCTAGTCTGAACCCCTCCCCACATCCTCCTCCCCCACACCCCGACTGTGAGCTCACAAGAATCATCCACCTTCTTCCCGTTTTTTACTCTGTACCAGCATAAGGATGCATACAGAGACACGCACATGCGTACTTATTGTTAGTGAAGCCATGATACCTAGTGAAGGCTACTTCGCAGATCCCTCCACAGCAAAGTCAGTCAATTGGTCGTCTGAATGTGTGCGTGGTAAGGTGCAACGACACACATCCAGCACAGACCGCCATGCACCGTCGAACTTATCAAATAGTATATCTCTCGGGTTACCCCCCCCCCCCACAGGCGAGGCTTGTCGGCGAAGAAGGCCAAAGGCATGTGGGACGAGTTCACGCGCATGACTATCGGGATTTTCGCTAAGTTAAATAGAGCTTCTCACTGACGCGTGGGGAGCGTGCAACAGAATCGTCCAGGGACTGACGCCGTCGCGCGCGGCCACTTGCGCGGCGTCCGTGACGCGGCACTTTTTCGATGGGCGCGGCAACAGTAGACTTTGTCGATTGGAGCGACAGATTTGCTGCCGTCCACATTAAGCCTTTTGGCGCTGGCCCGTCAACTTTAACGTTTTATTTTCTTCTTATTTTTAGGCCCGCTTCATTGCTGACGGCTCGTGCGGTCTTAAGGGATCAAGATCAATAGTTTAATTGAAATTTCAGGTACGCGAGGGCGGAGGAGACGGCGCCCGTGGTGTGAATAAATTCCGAGTTGGTCAGCATACTCCTGTAATACAAGTTTCGTTATGGAATCATTCAAAAACCAAGACAGCGACTCAGCCGCATTAACTGATTAAGCACATTCCCCTACCGGCTTCAGATGGCTTCCGCCGGCCATGTTATGAGCCTAAAATGTTAAAGGGAGGAGTAGGGGTAGCCCCTGTGAGAAATCGAATGACGCTCAACTCGTCCACTACAGTCGCGACGTCGCGGCCGCGACCACAAGCGCGGGGCTCCGGACGATTCTGTTGCTACACACCCACACCACGTCACTATCGCACCCCACGCGTTGCATGTCCGCCGAACTCCGCTTCGTGCCGCGCGAAGCGGCCTCCCGGAGCTACCCAAATTCTCCCCTTGTCGTTTACGTTGAGATGGAACGGCATAGACTTCAGGCATTCAACTAGTATGTCAATAGAGCAGTGCACTTTGTGGTGAAGCCCTGATCGGCGCTCACCCACTCCCATTATGGAGACACGTTCTTTTATGTAATCACAGTGAACATATGGGGAAAAAGAAGAACTGAATAGCGTTGGTTTGAACTGCTTGTTCACACGTTGGACCGGAATTGAGAGGTAGTAAGTAGAGTAGTAATAGCACATTTCCGGAGAGGATTAAACCAGTGATTGATGACCATTAGCTAACTATTTGTTGATTGATCAGTTTAAATCTTAATGTGATGATCAGATGAAATCTTAATGCGACGATATGTAAGGAACTACATGAATTCGAAGAAAGAACGGCTTTGCGTGAATGAGAATCCTTATGAGATCGAATAGCTGTTAGCACTATTTCAACTGTCTTATTGACTGCTGCCTTCGAGCTGGGGTCTGCAACAAGCTTTTTATAGGATTCCACGATGAAAAGGTAACTTATTAGTAGGAATAGAGGTGGTCAGTGGTGAAGGGATAAGAAAAACTATGGAGAAACGCTCGAACCGGAGAAATGAGACCTCTTTCTCGCTCATTGACTTCTGCATTGCTGCAACTGACATCGGTGCTGCCCCCTTCACGCTAATGCTCTCTTTGCTGAACGGGGTAGAGACGTGCACCGAATGGTTAGCCAATCGGTGGGCGTGGCGCGTCGATAGCGTCGCGAGGAAGGCCATTCTAGATCGCGAGGGCATATCATTCGAATTGCTTGTCGGTCCGCACTCTTCGGGGGTCTGCCTGTCTTCTCACTACGTAAGTTTCTCCTTCTTCGACTTTGACATTATCGTGGATTACTCTTTTAAGTAAAATTGAAATATTGATAGCGAGCTCAACGTCAGCTGGGAGCCAAATTTTTCTTCAAAGTCCACCAACTGGGTAAATTTCGTGGACGTTAAGGCCACTCACAACTCCTGGGGGTGATGCTTACACTTCCTGTTAAATGAAGGAACAGCAAAGCTCAGCAGAGCACAGCAAAACATTCAAAAGTTTTTTGAATTGTGTCAAAAAAGTTCTCTCACATTTCAAATTTTTTGGACCTCTGCCTGAAGTATGCTGAACTCCACTTGTAGGAGGTTTCTACCCTCCCTCTCCCCTCCTACTACTTCTTACCTTTTCAGAAGTCACAAATGCAAACCCCATTGTTGGGAGTCGTCATCGCGATCAGGTTTCAGGTCTCGCGTGTGCTAACCACTATACCATCGAGGCATTGACGATTTCACATTAATTCTCCCCTTTCTTGCCCACCATATTCCTACCCTCTTTGTGATGAGTGACTGTGAGTGACCTTATACGATGTAAAACGATGTAAAAAATGGCCAAAGTGGTTTAATGGTCAGCAAACAGCCCAGAAAACACGCAATACGAGTTCGAACCACAGCTAAGGCAGATTGTTTTGCCCAGAACTGTGTGTTGCCATGATAAATAGTAAAAATAACATTACTAGGGGGGGGGGCAATTCTTATGTACGAGGGATAGCCGGTAGGCCTGTCACTCTAGCGTCGTTGGGGAAAAGCCAAACTTATTACAAGGATAACTTCAACCCTATAGGCAGAAAATGCTTCAGAATCCAAGCGTTTAGCCTAGACTGCTAACGTTTATAATACCTGTAAGAACGGTATGAAAACTGTGCCGAAAAGGCTACCTAAATTACCTCCGAAGTGCGATAAACTGATAGAGAACTGATTGGTGATTTATAGGCAAAAAACCCTCAAGAAAACCCGCCAATGAGGGTCACGGCTGTAATGACACAGGTTTCTAAAGCCTATACCCCTTTCTAAATAGAGTCATTAAAGAGGAAAAGGGTTATAGCAAGTAATGAGGTGACGCCTAGGACGGTATTACTAGATAGGGTACGGTAATACGTCTGTTCGAGGAAGTTGCCCATAATAAAGGATAAAGGATAAAGCATTTGCCGTTGATCAATCCCTTTTGGGATGCGGCACGCATTCTACTTCCATTTGTACATTCGTAGTGGCGTTTGAATGCGATGTGGCCTATACAATGACTTGCGGGGGCCAGCCGATGTACAAGTCAGTGTTTTTATCCTCCCAGACAAGTCTGGTACCAATTAACCGACCCCGGAGGGATGGAAGGCTTGGTTGGCCCGGGCGACTCACGACCCAGGATTTGATCCTCCGGACCGCTCG